GCAGCAGGCAGGCAGCCAGGCAGCCAGCCAGGCGGGCGGAGAGGGCGGAAACAACGGCGCGGCGTCGTCCACCATTTTAATTTTATGCCCTCCGCGGCTTGCCCGCCGTGCCCGCCTTTGCCGCGGTTTTGGCGCGCGACCGGAGTCCGGGCCGCGCGGCCGTAACTCACAGGCTAACCGCCACTCGACGTCCGGGCCGGCCGGCCGGTCCAGCAGGCCGACTCCCAACTTCGTCTCTCTCGCACCTGCACCGAGCCACACCGAGCGCCCCGCGAGTGCGAGAGAGACAGCGACACGCAGCGACAGCGATGGTCGGATCTGCTCTGCCGAGGCCGAGATCGCACCTCGTCGTGTGACTCATCCGTCTGTCCGTCCTGAAGCCATCTGTCCATGTGTCCGGCCGATGGCTTACCGGCTCGCCCGATGTCACGCCCATCGGAAGGTAGATGGGTAGATGCCGCCGTGAGTCAGATGGCCTGGCGGCCCCGGGGCCCGGGGGCTGCACTGGCTGCAGGGGTCGAGCCGATAAGAAGACGCCCCGGGTATCATCCCACGGGCCTGTCTCCAGAATGCATGCCAGTCTGGCTCCCCCTCCCCCCTTTCCCCACAGTGACCGCCCTCGTCGTCGACCGCCCCCCGTTTAAGGGAATGGAGGAAGTTGGCGGGGCCGGCCGGAGCCTCGGGGGCCACTGGGGTCGCGGGGGGCGCCGCCAGGCCGCCAGGACGTTAGCTAATCACAAATTGAATCGAGCGGAGAGAAGAAGCGCTTTTGCTTTTAGTCCCTCATAACGCAACGCGCTCACGCACGCGGCGCGGAGGAAGGAGGAGACACATCCCCCCGCTGTCGCTGGGTGTGTGTGCCGGTCGTTGTCGTGTACCCTTGCTGACGAGAGACGCAGCCCATAATTCGGCGCGGTGTGGCGTTGGCAGTGGCGGCACGTTGCCCGCTATCGACTCGCCGGCCGGGGCGTCGAACCTGCCCAGCCCGCCGGAGGGGCGGTGCGGCGCGGCGCGGCGGCGCGGCGAGACGGGGAGGGCTGCACGCCGGTCGACCTTCGCGTCGACAGATCAGTGTCCCCCGCGGAAAACGACAATCCGTCAGCAGGACGACGAGTCGCCCATTCTGAACGAGCCCGGCTCGATTAGCTTTCTTTTCTGTCTGTTTCTCTTGTTTTCCAAGCGTCCTTTTTTTGCGAGTATTTTTATTTGACTGCGCCAGGCGCTTGCCGCGCTTGCCGGGCTTGGCTCGGTGTTTGATTGGCGCTGGCCCCGCGTGTTTACGCTTTTATGGCCCCGGCAGACTCATTTTCACTTTTGCCTTTCACCGCCCCGCCGGGACTCGAACCCGCGCCGCCGGGACACGGGACTGACCTGGGCCAAGGCAGCCAAGGCGGCCTAATGAAGCGACGAGGCGAGGCACCCTCTGCTCCTCCCTCCCTGGCCGCCCTGCCCGGGAAAGGGGCCGGCGCCGCGTGGGTGGCGGCTGGCCGCGGACAGGTAGAGTTAGAGCACCTGGCCGACGACGGCGGGGTGAGTGTGGCCGCGGACACGCGTACTGCACGTGGCCAACGACGGCGGGGTGAGTGTGGCCGCGGATACGCGTACTGCACGTGGCCGACGACGGCGGGGTGAGTGTGGCCGCGGACACGCGTACTGCACCTGGCCGACGACGGCGGGGTGAGTGTGGCCGCGGACACGCGTACTGCACGTGGCCGACGACGGCGGGGTGAGTGTGGCCGCGGACACGCGTACTGCACCTGGCCGACGACGGCGGGGTGAGTGTGGCCGCGGACACGCGTACTGCACCTGGCCGACGACGGCGGGGTGAGTGTGGTCGCGGACACGCGTACGGCACGTGGCCGATGACGGCATGCGCCGCGCCGCCCCCTGTTGTCAGGGTTGCCTCAGAGCGCCGTGGGAACGCGCGGCCCGGCCTGGGATAATTAATCCGGGTGCGACGCAGGTACACTGGCAGCGCTGGCAGTGTAGGCAGCGAGCCTCGCAAAGTCGCAGCGACCCCAGCGGCTAATGTAGGTCGCGCCAGTGGTTAGAAAAAGCACGAACCGCATAAAAAAAAAAATTCCAAAAAAAATTAAGCGTTTGGAATGCGAGTGAAAAATTGGAAGTCGGGGTCGGTTTGGCTGTGGCCACTGTTGGTGTTGGTGTGCGAGTCCAGCAGGCCTTGTCCTTGCCCTAGGCTGTCGACTGGGCGGCCAGCTGGGCGGCAGCCGGGCGGCCCCCGCGGCGCCGTGTCCGAGTCCGCCCTGCTGGCCGCGCCTGGAAGCCTGGAAGGCCCTGCGCGTGATGGACGGACAGCCTTGGAGTGGAGTGGGGCCCAGAGCCAAGCCCGTCCGGCCCCCGCGTATCTGGACTACACCATGAGCCGGGTCGGCCCGACCGTGCCCTTGCCGTCAAGCTTCACTTGGAAAAAATGCTTCGCTTCTGTCCGAATGTTGTGTGTTTCTTTGTCTTTATTTCTTTTCCAATACGCGGGGCCCGCGGCCCGCCCCCTTGGCCCGCTAAAGACCCGCTGCCGCCTGCCTGCCTGCCTGCCTGCCTGCCTGCCTGCCTGCCTGCCTGCCTGCCTGCCTGCCTGCCTGCCTCGCTGCTTGTTAATGCCGCGGTGGGGTGACTCCCCCGCGGCGGCCTTACAAGTTTGAAGCGAGATTGGCACGGATTTGGGGCCGGGTCCGCGCTCCGCTCCGCACTGCCAAGCCCAAGGCCGCCCCGGCCCGGCCAATATGGCCCGCCCGGCCGGCCGGGTCCGCGGTCCGCGCGCGGGTCCGCTAGGCCGGCGGGGCCGCGAGTTCGAACCCCAGCCAATGCCAAGGCCGGCGAGGCGAGGGCGAGGCGAGGGCGGGCCGGCCGGGCGGAGGCCGAGGTGCTGCCGGGCAGTCGCAATCATTTCGGAAAGGAAGGCACAGCGCCGCAGCGCGCAGAGCTCGTGTGTGTCTGTGTGTGGGCCTGCCGGCCTGGCGCCCTGGCCCAGCAGGAGCAGCCCCCCCGGCCCGCCGGGGACACCCGGAGGAACTGGGGCTTTCCGTGACTGTGTCGCATGACGGCCCGGCGACCCCCGCCCCCTCCGGGACCTCTCCCCGCCCCGCCCCGCCCCACTGCCCCCAACTTCCCGAAAAGCGCGAAAAGGCGGTCGCGGCTTTTCTGTCCCATTTCCGGCACGACATAATGAACCCGGCGAGGAGAAGAAGAAGGGGGAGGAAGCGGAGCGGGCCGCCGCACTCGTCGCACTCGCGTCGCTCGCGTCGCGCGCCGGCGTCAAAAGTCGCACAGGCAGGGCCAGGGCAGGGCCAGGGCAGGGCCCGCTGGGACCGGGGAGGGGGAGGGGCAGTGCCATTTCGCACCGGGACGCCCAGACCGGACCGGAGACCGCGCCGTTGCCGTTCCCACCCAAGACGCTCGCCGGCCAACTTTGCGGCCATTTTGGCGCTTTTGTTAGTTTTGTTCGGGGTGAAATATGAATGGGGAATGGAATGGGCGGCTCGGGTTTCATCTGGCGGCGTCGCGTCGCGCGGAGAGGGCGGCAAGCAGCGGCATGGCGGCAAGCTCGCGCCGTTTGTTTTCGCAACGGCCCGCCCGCGATGCCACCCATGCCCCATGGGCCATGCGCCGACGACCTGGAGGCTCATTCCCAGAGTCGGTCTCGGCGCTCTGTCTCTCTCGCACTCGTGGGGCGTGCCGCATCGCTACGAGAGAGACAGCGGCGAAAACGTCTCTGGCGACGTGCAATGATGGTTTAATTACGGGCCCGGCTTCGCTGCTTCGCCGCCTCGACGCGTTGCGTTCGCTGCACACCGAGGGACATGCAGCCCCTGGGCCTCGAAGGCCACGTCGTTGCCGGGCCACCGGGCCACCCCCGGGGCGGGCGGGGCGCTCGCTCGGCGCTCGAGCCGCTCAACAGTCTCATTACGGGCGTCAAGGTCTCGCCCCTGCGACGGCAGCGCGCGACAGCCGGCCGCCTCGGTTCGGTACCCCTTGGCTGCCTTGGTGGCGACATGGCGCCTGCGGGGTGGCCATACTGCGAGTGGGAGTCGTAGCCGTTGGTGGTTCTTCTCCGCCGGGATAAAGTGTCACCTTAGTAAGGACGGCCATGTCTCGTTTTGCAGTGCAGGCGGGCATGTGTCGGGCCCGAAATGGCATACGATCATGTGTGGTCTAGCCCTTAATGGTAATGGTAATGGGCACCGCCCCTCGCGGCACGCACGCGCGGCCGACGGGACTGCCTACCTTCCAGGCGGCCGGGCTGCCGCGCTGCCCGCCTCCGCCACGGCACTGCGAGTCCTTCCCGCTCGCCCCGCCCTGCACCGCCGCGCGTTTCGATCGGACCTTTCGTTAAATATTGATGACGACGGCGGCGTAATTTTAGCGTCATCGACTCGGCGCCGACTCGTGCCGCGAGATGACCGCGCCGTATCGGCACGCCATGTCGCTTCCGCGGTCGAGCGCCCCTGTTGCTCTGTCTCTCTCGCACTCACGGGGTGTCCTGTCCCGGTGCGAGAGGGACGGAGCGACGAAAAAGACCGTCGGGATGAGTCTACCGGCCGGCGGAGGCCTCGGACGTCATGCCTGCGTGCCTTGCCTGGCCGTGCCCTTCGAGGCCTGCGAGGGCGAAGCCCTCAGGCCAGCCCCCCGCACCCCGGGATGGCATTGCAGGCCGATTACGTGGGGTCGATTTCGTCGCTCTGTCTCTATCGCACCTGTAGGGGACGCCTGAAGAGTGCGAGAGAGACAGAGCGACGAAAACGACTCTCGGAATCAGTCTGCAAGGACGCGGGGGTGGCCGCGCGGAGGGCGATGACGATTGGGGGCTTTGAATCTTTGAATTGTTCTGTTGGCCCCGCCGGGGTCCGCCCCTTCTGCGAACGATGGGCCGCTACTGATTCCTTCCTTCCTTCCCTCCCGCGAACTTTGAAGTGCCTTCGGAGCTGCCTCTGGAGCTGCCTCGTCGACTGCCATGACTAACCCAAGTTGTTTTGTTGTTGCAGAGTCCTGGGCAGCTGCACCTCAACAAGGACGCCCTGCCCTCCAAGTACAGCAGCAGTAGCAGCAGCAGCAGCAGTAAGACGGCGCAGCAGCACCAGCGGGACCTGCTCTACCACCAGCAGCAGCAGCAGAGGAACAAGAACACACTCTCCTCGCTGTACGCCCCGGCTGCAGAGGTGAGCCCTCCCTCCGTGCGCTCAGAGCCAATCGGAGCCCCGCGCGTTTTTGGAGCTACGTTGACATTCAGATAGAAACTGGAACCTGAAATCTTCTTCGTCCTTCCAGAACCACAAACTGCCCGCCCTGAAGAGTGGCGGCTCCGTCAGCTCGACGGGCTCTCCCTCGTCGCCGGCCCTCAACAACAACAACAATAACAACAGCGGCAGCCGGACGCCCAATAACAACAACAACAATGTGGCGGACAGCCCGTCCACCCCCAAACAGGACCCCTTCGGGCGCTCGCTGCCCCTCACCCCGGCGCAGGCCACCAAGTACTACGGCACGCGGCTGACGGAGTACGAGCGCAAGGAGATAGAGAGCTACCCCGAGGTGTGGTACCTCGGCTACGAGGCGTCCAAGATCCACGGCGAGGAGGGCGCGGCCCAGAACGGCGGCTACGACGACGACAACGGCTCCTACAACAAGGTCCTGCACGACCACATCTCGTACCGGTACGAGATCCTCGAAGTGATCGGCAGGGGGTCCTTCGGCCAGGTCATACGGGCCCTGGACCACAGGACCGGCAAGCACATCGCCATCAAGATCATCAGGTAGCCAATCAGACGTGTTGCCGGCGACGGGCTTCCATTAAGAAACGCCTGGATCGAATACTAAACCTCTTTTCTTTTGTTATCAGGAATAAGAAGAGGTTCCACCATCAGGCCTTGGTTGAAGTGAAAATCCTGGATCATCTAAGGAAAAAAGACCGTGACTCCTCTCACAATGTCATCCACATGTTGGACCACTTCTACTTCAGAAATCACTTGTGCATCAGTTTTGAACTAATGAAGTATGTCTTCTTGCCTTTAAGGTGTCATTTTAGTCTATAGTTTGTTTTTGTTTTTTCTCTTTCTATAACAGTTGCTTTCCTTTTTCAGCCTGAATCTCTACGAACTGATCAAGAAAAACAATTATCAAGGTTTCAGCCTGAGCCTCATCCGGCGGTTTGCACACTCTCTTGTGCAATGTTTACGACTTCTGTATAGGGAAAATATAATTCACTGCGATCTCAAACCGGTGAGTAATCCTTGAAGTGGGCACACTCTCACATGTCTCATGCAGCCCTCTTTATCGCCTTAATCTCACGCCCTTTTCCTTCGTTTGTAGGAAAATGTCCTTCTCAAGCAGAGGGGCAGTTCGTCCATCAAGGTGATTGACTTCGGCAGTTCCTGCTACGCGCACCAGCGCGTGTACACATACATCCAGTCGCGGTTTTACCGCTCTCCTGAAGTCATCCTTGGTCTTCCCTATGGAGCTCCCATCGACATGTGGAGTCTGGGTAAGTCTGCTTACAACATCAAGAGTTTGATTCGGTTATTCTGTTGTTGAGCTAAATTAAAAACAAACTGCATTCTTTTACTTTTTCAGGTTGCATTTTGGCAGAGCTGTACACTGGATACCCCTTGTTTCCTGGGGAAAACGAAGTTGAGCAGCTTGCATGCATCATGGAAGTCCTTGGAGCGCCTCCAGATCACATTGTGGGCAACGCTACACGTCGCCGTCTTTTCTTTGGTGAGTGATTTCGAATTATTTTTCTTAATATTAAATTATTGGAATGATATTAGATGTGTTTAAATTTTTTCTGTACACACTTCTTTTATCAAACCACTTTTGCCTTCATTTTCCAGATACCTATGGCAATCCTCGCTGCATCACTAACAGTAAGGGACGCAAGCGTAAACCAGGATCCAAAGACCTGTCAATGGCCCTCAGATGTAATGACAAGATGTTTGTGGACTTTGTAGCTCAGTGTTTACAGTAAGTCAAAATATTTTTGTTGTTGTTTGAAAATTAGACATGTGTCAGAGACGAGTCTAAAAACTTATTTTCACTCCTTCGCAGATGGGATTCAAAGAAGCGCATGACCCCTGATGAAGCTCTGCGCCACGAATGGCTCATCTCCAGCTCATCCATCAGCACTAGCAACGGATCTCACACCCAAACAGAACTGAGGCGGTCTCCGTCAGAAGCAGGGTTGGGCCCTCACCACACACATCACTCTCACCGGAGCGCTGGAAGTGGCAGTAGTGGTAGCGGGAGTGTGACTGGGAGTGGTAGTGGTAGTGGTAGTGGCAGCGGCCAACAATATTCAATTTACCGACTGTACCGTGGTAAAAAATGTGTATCAAAGCTTGTAGATGCTCAGCCCGGTGAGTTAGGCGATGTCTCAAGTAGTTTGCTGGGTACAGCTAGAACACGAGGCTCAACAACCACAGTACGAGGTGGGGGTGAGTGTTCGAGTCAAGCAGTTGATCCCAATTTGAATGACTCTGGCACTTTCCTGCCTCCTATTTTGTGAGGCTGGCCTATTGTCGCTTTTTCTACGGCGACAAAGTACACTGAGAGTTAAAATTCTATTCTAGTTCTTATGGTGATGATTATTTAAATCTTTTCCCTACATAAAATACAACTTCTGAGAAGAAAATGTATATTAGGGGTCACCAGATAGATATGCTTCCCTAAATTATTACGGTATGATGGGAAAAAACATCTTTCCCCTTGTAAAAAGTTGTGAATGGAAGCTGTAATTCCTTTTCTTTTTAAGAAACACACAAGAAGAGGTTCTGGTCTTTAGAACTTACTTCTCAAGTAATATTGACTTCCTCTGTGTGATACTGTACTCAGTCACTGAAATTTTTCACTAATGTTCATCCACTGTGTACTTGTCGTATCGTGGCCAAAATGCCAACCTCTGTGATGTTTGCAAATAAGCAAAGTCTGCAAGGACGCTCAGTGAAAAAAGCATATGTGGTACCGACTTAATTTCATTTATGAACCAGTCATCAATTCATCTGCATTATATCAATCCAAGAGCACTGCATACCTCTTTGCACATGTTGTGTTTAATGTTAGATGAATTTGTTAATAATTTTATGTAGATTTGAATGGATGGAAGGGAACAGACTGTGTAAAATAACTGGTACCATGTTGTACATTTTCTTTAGCTTTAACATCATGTTTCACTGCAAAGGTGTAGAAGTTTTCAGTCAGTTATGGTTTTATATTTAACCAGAGTGTATACTGCCCATGTGTGGTTGCTGTTATCTCAGTCATGTGACAAGGCCTTTGTTGCTGCTTCTCAATATTTAACCAAGGGCAATGAGATCTCAAGCAGTGCGTTTTTGTTACCACATGACAGGAGTTCCGATCAACACCATTGTTGAATTCACGTCACATCCATTTAATCTGTCAGTTATGATTTCACTTGTTGTCTTGGAAAGCTGGGTTTTATGAGAATGGTTAAATTTTGTTCTGTAAGTTTCCTGTATCTATTTGAAAATCATTAGAAAGATGATATTTGAACATATTCATACATCAATTTGCTATATATTTTTTTTCTGTGTTGTAAATAGAATATTGATTCTAAAAGCCACTGCTCAGTGCCTTAAATTAAAATCATCCATAAGCATGAAGTGTAATTTAATTTTATATCCAGTATGTTTGGTGCACTATTCGACAGAATTTTGCAAATAGTCAACAAAAGTTAGTCATATTTTAAAGCATAACTTGAATTGGGGCATTTTTTGTGGAACATGTAGATCATTTGTTTCCCAAAAATTATCTGTGTTTTTATCATACAGAATTTTAATGTTTTATCTTCTATAGTGATAGATCTCACAATTGTATCATTTGTAATGAAATTTTAAATCAGCGAGATGAATGAACTTACCAGCTAGTTATCCAACATGGAACTAAAACACTCGATATGTGAAAGGACAACGAATCAATTATGAGTTCTACAAACGTGTTCACTGCTGTATGAATTTCATTTGTGGTCCACTGTTGAGGACACACTGCAGTGAATGCCATGAGTGCCCATCAATACACTACATGTGCATTGAAGAACTTTCAAGTGTGCGTCTTACCATTTGTATATTTTAAACTACCAATGTATATCTACTCATCCATTCAGAGCATCGGCGAGTAGAGTTTCAATGATTGAAGAGGTCTAATAAAGGTTAAAAGTGATGCTGAGAAGAAGTGAAGTGATAAAAATACAACCAAAGTTCTAGAGATTAGGCAGGCTCTGAGAAAGCTGATACTGAGACAATGCTGGCCAGCACTGTCCAATAGTCTGAATATTGGATAATAATTTTAGTGAGTTTGGTTTTTAATGTTTTCCAGTCAGTACTTTCTTCACTCTTTTAATTGCTCCATCGTTGTTTTCTTTGGCACTATTATGGACTTTTAGATCGTAACATCTAAACGAAAACTTCAAAATGAGACAGATATGTTGTAGACTGATGTTTACCTGAAGATTGTACTCCCTGTTGGTTGTGTAGGGAAACTGGTAAAGTTTAGCCAACTGTGCAACAGTATGGCTTGAACAGGTGTGTCCTCTGACACTCAAAAGTAAACTTTATAGTTGGGGTTCCATGTTTTGCCCCTCTACCCTACTTGTGACAGCCGGCGTTTGCTCTCTTTGTTAAATTTTGTAATCAACCATGTATCGCTACATAAATTCTAATCTTGGCATACTCTCTTAGATGTTGTTGTTGTTTTAAGTGTCTATCATTTTATTACTGTATTAATGACCAAATAAATTCTTACAGTCAGTGTAAGTGTTCATAAAATTTGAAATCAGCCTTAACTAAGATCCTACCAACCAGACATATTGCCAATTACCAATGCTCGAACACTCAATGTTTTCCAACAATAAATAAAAATAAAGAATGAATACAATTGTGCGTTCAAAAGAATATGAGAAAACATAATAACCAACTTAATCCAGAACACTAGGAGACAATGTGCCCAAATTTAGACTGATGATACCGGATTCAGCAGTAAACTGGAGAAAAGATTTCCGCGCAGAGGCCTCCATTCACAGCAGCCCCGCGCCCCTTTTGCAGGAGTGAGCCTTCTCGGCAACGCAGAGGGCAGAGGTTTTCTTCAAGGATTCCACCAGGAGTTGACCGCCCGCCCGTTGCTGAGAAAAGAACCCCCCTCCACGGTATGGGTAGGAACCGGGGTGACGGTTTTTTCCAGTTCACCCGGATCCTCACCTGGTTTCGGTGGGACTAGTGGGCCTAGTGGGCCTAGGTGGGACCACACAGTGAGGTAGGTCGGTAACGCCGTTCCGTCCCGGCTTGTCCCACCGACCGGGTTGCCAGCGGGTGCAAGCACCACCACGGCTATGCACGCCGGGATGAGCAGGGCATTCTGCAAGATACATCCAATGTAGAGAACGTCAACAGAGAATCATTTTCCCGTCTCTAGTATAGGATGAGTTTTCATTCTATTACTAGCTCGCTCTGCCATGGATCTAAGGTTGGCGCTATTTGTCTGACCAGTTTGGTTGACCAATTTAGTGAAGAGCCCAGTGGGGCTCTGAAGTAGGTCGTGGGGCTTGCCGAACTCTGCAACGCGGCCACCATCCATGACAAGTATTTTATCACAATTCATGACAGTGTCAAGACGATGAGCTACGGTCAAAACGGTACATGTTGAGAACTTGTCGTTGATGGTATTCTGGATTAGTTGATCAGTGTATGTGTCCATATTTGCAGTGGCTTCATCAAGAACTAAAATCTTGTTGTGCCTTAATATGGCCCGCGCCAGACAAACAAGCTGCCTCTGTCCGACACTTAAATTACTTCCACCTTCTGTCACAACGAACTGCAATCCACCTAAAAATGAAGCAGAGCAGAAAATCAGATAAAAAAGTGGAACACTTGCATAAAGAGATAAAACTTAAGAATAAGCTCAAGGTGAATTAATTTGAAAGTTTCTCTTTGTTACATACAATTCATTTCTTCTACAAATGACTTAAGTTGGACATCTCTCAGTGCACTCCACAGATCTTCATCCTTATACTGTTCAAACGGGTCAAGATTGTGCCTCAAAGATCCTGCAAAACAGAGTAAATTTCTTTTACAAACATACGTGACGGTGGAATGTGAGATACCTGTATTTTATAACAATTTATGGCAGTGTCCGCATGATAAGCTACATTGGGCTGGAGCCTGAAAAATATCAGGTTCACGGAGTAAAACCAGCAAGAACGAAGTCTTTTCGAATGGCCGCGTGCACAATCTCCGGGCGTCGAGCGCCTTCCACGTAGGCCACCAGCCCGGCTGGAACACATCGGTGTGGTGACTGTGGCCTACCTTGCCCCTGCCATTACCATTACCACTACGGGCTAGACCACGCCCGTGGTTTAACTCGTGGTTTCCGGTTTTACTCGGTGAAACTGATTTTTGCCGGGCACCAGTGCCGACAGCGGTCATTTGCCGGTGTCGTGCCATGAATGTACCATTTGGAGAAGTGTACCCAGGGACAGCCGTCACGCGGTGGTTGTACCCACCCCGGCAGGCCGCACGGTCGGGGGCACATTCATCGCGCGGTGGCTGTACCCTCTTCCGATCGGCCTTCACAATCAAGTTAGTTATGCTTCAACTGCGACATAAACACACCTGTGAAAAGGACAGGCTCTTGCGGGATAACTGAGAGATTTGAGCGTAAATCTTGCAGACCAATCTTGCTTGTGTCTAATTTATCAATTATAATAGTTCCTTCAATGGGATACAACTGGAAAAGGGCACCCAGTAATGAAGACTTGCCAGCTCCCGTTCGACCAACTATACCAATCTGGAAAAATGAGAATTTATTTGAAAAGCTGTTTTCCATACTGGCAAATTGAGAATCTGAAAAAAGCTTTGCTCACGTACCTTTTCTCCAGATTTGATAGAAAAGTTAAGTTCCTTAAGCACGGGAGGGTCAGTAGGGGAGTAGCGGAGGGAGACATTCTGGAAGGTGATATCTCCAAAGGTTGGCCAATCAACAGGTAGCTTATGCTCAGGTTTCGTCAAAAGTCTCGATTCTTCACTTTCAACTTTGTGGAATTCTAAAACACGCTCTACTGAAGTCATCTCGTTGCCCACTTCGGCCGATTGACGCATGGCCCACTTAAAAAGATATGTTAAATAAAAGTTTTAACTTATTAAAAAATAAAATAAAACGCAAAAATAAATTTTGAGGTAAGAAGATTATTAAATGGATTACCTGGCACATCATCACAAGAGAAAGTGCCTGTGTGATGGTGAGACCAATTTCTCCAGCTCTGAAGTCTTCCTTAAAAAATAGAAAGCTTAAGATGACCAGCATTGTGTAACCACTACACACGAGATCCAACCAATACGCAAAGGCCCTGTCAGTGCCAAGTGAATAAAAAACAGCCGAAGAATTAATATTTTGTTTGCTATCAAATTCTCTTGATAAATTGTCCTGTAACACAAATAAAATGATTGTGATCACGATACCGACCAAGATAATGTTGATTATCATGATATTTATAAAGAGAAACTCACCGACGCCTGCATTGATCGGATTGTGACTAGGCCCTCAATGGAAGCATTTGTGTGCGTGTAAATAGGACTGCTGGACAGGCCCTTGATTCTTTGCAAACTCCGTGACGTCATCATGTACAGTTGGCGAAGAAAGACGAAAATGACACCTATCACAAGGAGAGGTAACAAAAGCCAGTAATTGACCACACATATGATGACCAGAACACCAACTAGATGCATGATCGCCTCAATGATATCAGAAAGAGTTTCAGGCAGGTGTTCATCTATAATACCAATGTCCCTTGAGAATCTTGTTAGAATGCGTCCAGACGGATTGTTGTCAAAAAAGTTCATGGTGGCTTTGGAGACAGTATTAAACATAATGTCATGCAATCTTTTAGAGCCTTCCATACAGAAGTATGCAAAGGCAACTATTTTAATCAGATTCAGAAAAACTGTGATGGCCATCAACGCTCCGAAGACGTACAAGCACTTCGCGCGGTCCATCTCTCCCAATATGGGAAGGGACGTGGTGTTCCCGTTTTGAAAAACGTACTGTTCAAGATCGACCCAATAAGAAGTCCAATAATCACCACCGCTTACAGAACCTTGGGTAAGAGCAAGACACAGCACAAGAAGGACAAATGCTGGCAAACCACCTGCTGCTTTGAAGTAAGATAGGTAAATCTTCCAAGTTACTTCCCCCTCTGATTTCATTTCTTCGGGCACATCAAATTCCTCTTCTGAAGCTGTACTGTGTGTCGATAGTTGCCTTTGCAATTTATCTCTGGCAGGATTCTCCTCATTTTCTGTCTCTGTCTTCATTAAATCAGACAATTCTGTGCCACAATTCTGCAAATCACTAAAAGTGCCTTGGGCCGCGATTGATCCATTTTTCATCATTAAAATAAGTTTAACATTGTTGAGATATTGCAACTGATGAGTGCATAAAATGACTATTTTTCCAGCCAGAAAACCATTGATGCAGTCATCAAAGAGATGGCGGCCCACATGAGTGTCAACAGCAGAGAGGGGATCATCCAAAAGGTAGACGTCTGCTCTTCTATAAACAGCTCGAGCCAAATTTATTCTAGCTCGCTGGCCACCGCTGAGTGAGTGTCCATGCTCCCCAACTTGCGTCTTATCACCACGAGGGAATTGCTTGAAATCCTCTTCTAATGCACAAGCTTTGACTACTTCATTGTAACGCTTTTTCTCCATGGGAAGGCCAAAGGTGATATTTTGTACCACTGTTCCAGTAAACAGCCACGGTTCTTGTGAGGCATAGGAAATTGACCCTTGGATGTTCACTTCACCAGTGACATGTGGCAATTCTCGTAATATTAATTGTAGCAATGATGACTTGCCTGATCCTACTTGGCCAATAACGCCCACCAGCATCCCTGGTGAAATTGAAAGATTTAAGTTTTTCAAGCTATTGTGTTGCTGGTCTTCTGTCCACTTGGCATCTACATTCTTCAAAAGAACTTCTGTTCTACCAGTTATGCTCTGACTAGTCATTATTGAACTAGATTCTGGCTTCAAAAGAAACTCTTCCATTCTTCTGATGGCAACTACACATTCTGCTAAATTTTCAATGGCCATTGGTAAGTAAATGGTCAAACTTTCTTGCAAAATATCAAAGAACATGATGGTAGTAAAGATTTTGTCTGCAGTGATTGCATTTCCTGAGAGAGCGAAGTGGAGCACACACAGGAAAAAAGAAATCTTTGTGAGAAATGAGGAACAAGCAAATGATAAGCCGGTGTAGTATGTCATGGATCTAATAACATTCACTTCTTTTCTCCTTGCACTTTCAACCAATTTAGAAAACCACTTTTCCCATGCATACATTTTTATTGCTTGAATACCCGGAATGATCTCGTTCATGAGCTGAATTCTTTTATCAGATCTTTTAGCTGTCTTTTCACGAAGAGCTGCTGATCTTTTAGCCAGGAGAATTTGTACTGGCACGAAAAACACAAGGGTCGACATTCCAACAAAGGCAGATACACCAACTTCCTGCCATAGAAAATATGTCACGACCACTGAACAAACTATTCCTCCCAAAGCATCAGGCAAGTGCAAGGGAGCACTGCTTAAGCGACTTGCATCATTTGTTAGCAAGTTTATAACATATCCACCAGTAACTCCTGAACTGGATGATATAGAAACTTTCAACAATTTTCGATATAGGAGGGACGAGAGGGCCACACGAGCTCTCATTCCCAAGCACATCAGGCCAAACATAAAAGGGTGCATGCCAAACTGGTGTAGAAAAACTAACACAGCAACACCTGAGGCATAAACAGTAGCCTCTTCAGCAGTAACAGTGCTATTGGATTCAAAATAATTAAGGAATTTCCCAAGTAAGATTGGTTGTCCCAGTTTAACGGTGAGTTCAAATATGAACATACCAGAGGCCATGAAAAATAGTTCCCATCCAATGAAGGCTCTCAGGCAAGCCCACAACCTGGGTAGTTTCCACCTCCCATTGCCACAGCTATTCCTCTTATGTTTATTCCAAAGGTCTTCCAGTTGATTCCCGACCTGCTTAGAGTCATACTCATCCAAAGGCTCACAGATATCTGGAAGACCTAGGTCTCGTTTATACCCCTTCCGAAACAGACCAATCGTCCAAGAAAACGTAAGAGCAGACAAAATATTTGCCTTCGCCCTTGGATTCTTGGGTTGCGTAATTTTCTTGACTGAGTCCATTTCTTATTTAATGTCTCTAAGTAGAGCCTTTTGAAAGTAAAATGAAACCTGAAACAAACAATGAAGCAATTGATAACAGTTGACCCAATTCCAAACATACCCCCGGCTCCAGCAGGTAGCGCCTTCGATGGACTTCCCCATTTATGTCAATGACCTGGGTCATTCCCCCACCCGTTCCCCCAAGGTCATTCGGCCATGGCCGGGAAAAACATCATTGCTAGTTTATAAGACGACAATAAGCGTCAACTTTCAGGTTCAGGTTGACTCTTGTGAGAGTCGCGACCGTACTTTCTCCAGATTCCAGCGTTCCAGCGCATTGTTGCGCAATGTTGCTGCAAGCAGCGTCGTGCCCTGCCCGCGCCGCCTCCGTCCATACTCACCTCGTCCGGGACGGTTGGCCCTGGGAGGCTAGCACTGACAAACAACGGCGGATCCTCGCAGCTCAAAACACACTGAAGCGGTACCGGCCGGCACTGCCGGCACCGGCGCCGCGCGTCGTAGCGCGTCGCCGTCCCACCGGCGTCGCCATGCGGCCGCAGTTCGCAGAGGTGGGGGGAGCAGCAGAGCGCCGGACGAGGGGGCGGGGCGGGCGGGGCGGGCGAGGCGTCTTTCACTCGCGTATTACTCGCCTCACTCCGAAGGTCCGAAGCGCGATAACGCGTGCTTCCGCGAAAGAAGGAAGCGCGAGGCGTCAACGCGTAATAACGCGCAATAAGTCCTAATACACGCGACTCTATGAGCATGCCTGCTATTTGTACAGTATACTTCAGACGGGGCATTCTTGCCAAAGTACACGCCAGGTGGCGCAACTTCAGCCTTCCGCATTTCCCTTGCGACGTCACAGTCAGGAGGCCGTGCAGCCACGTGATTCTGTTCGGCCAATAGGAGGGGAAGGCGTTCTGAGTAATCTCAAAAGGACTAAGGCGCGACTCCACAGAAAAACGTCATTAGGTCATTCAACAATGCTGTGACGTTGACCCAGAGACGAGACCGAGATACCCACAGCGAGAGCGCCCGCAGAGCCGGGCATAGGCAACCCGCTCAGCTTTGTCATGACAGCTATCAGCCGATGTGTCATGGGAAGGGGGCCCAAAGTGAAACAATGTTTTGAATAAGAAGCACTCTTTTATTCTTTCCAGCATCATTTCCTTTTCAGAATGGTCGGGTGGGAACAGTAATTAATTGATATTATCAATCTCTGTTTTAATAGTTTAATTTCTCAACAGCCTATCAATCAATCAAGATGTTCAGAAGGTTCAGAAAATATGACAAGTGCCCTTGACTTTGTGCTCAGAGGAATGTTTATTGGTCTCCAGTTCAGAATCCATTTACGTTTATTGAATTTCACTGTAGCTCACTGAATTTGAAATATCTTCCATGTTGTATTTTAGGCCTTGTCCTGTGTTTTCAATGGACGGGCAAACAGCATTACAATTCATAGCTTACACCTGGTTGGCACTCTTGAGATAATTTGAAGACATTTAAAAAGAATTCTTGTACTTTAACATGTTATAATACAGCTTGTGTCATTTTCAGGCTTAAATTTTATGCTTATTTTTTAAGTGGGATGACCTATTTCATTAAAGCCCATTTTAACTAAAGCCCATTTTGCCTCACTAATTTAACTCATGCAACACAAGGTGTACTTTTTTGACACGTGTTCAGTTGGAAAGCAGTACAGTAAAATCTCACGGCCCTCAGAATATTATTTGGGTGTATTTAAGGCACATTTTACAGGCACAAGATGTGCTCTTCGAACAAGACCATGAAAATAGTCAACTTTCGAGTGCAACTACAGTGTGCCATAAAAAAGTATTAATTCCTATCAATCATTTGTATCTATTCAAAGACTAGAAGTAGTTCCTCTCTCAATAAAATATTTATTGCATAGTATCAAGATTGCTATAAGTGATCTTTTTTTTGGATCCAAGTTTTCAGATTTTGGATCTAAAAATTCCTACCTTCTCATTTACAATATGAAAATCCAGCATTACATAGAACAAGCACAGTATTTATTTATTTATTTCAAAAAGAAATGCGAAGGCATCACAAGGCACTATTACTCAACAGATCAGGTAGTTACCGAAGAATATTTTTTGGACAGAAACAAAAACAACTAAACTTACACCCAGAGAATTTATTGCACTTCTGAAGAGATCATGGGGTGTTTGACTGCTGTATTCATCAACAAAATCCACTGTACTGGGAGGAGTACAAGTGTAGAGCTGCTACAGGAACGTGTTGTGAGTGTGCCTCCTGAAATATTTTTGCAATATTTTGCAGATTTTGAACAGATTGTCATAAATTACGATGGAGTTTCAAATGACCAACATTAGCATAAGAGTGCTACAGATGTGCTTTTCCTATGTTCTATTCCTATGGGTGAGGCTAGAGTGTTTTGGAAGAAGGCTCTCCACTCTCCCTTTCCAAACAATTCTGGAGGTGAGGCACATGACATAGTTATGCTATGGTCCCAACAAACAGAAAGATTGACCAACAATTTCAAGTTATATCTTACAAGAAATGGGAGTATTTTCATCAAATGACAAAATAGAACAGCAGAATAATGCAGGCCTTAAAAGAGAAATTCGAAAACAAGTACAGCACATAGGAAGAGATCTCCACCAAGGACTGGTCACACTAAATAAAATTACAATAGTACTGTTTGGTAAAACAATATCTTTTCCTTTTGAAGTTCTGAGTTTGCAGAACTATGACTTAAACTATGAAAACAACTGGTAAAAGGTGGGAGTCGAATATGAAACATTACTAATGGACAAAACGAGAAACAGAAGATTGTATACTGTGCCTGTTGTACAATGTTTTTCCCCAGCTCAACGTCCCAGTATAATGTAGATGATGCGAATGGCCAATATTTCATGCACTATAAGAATTTCATTACAAATAACTTTTGTTTTGTACAAGGTCCTCCAACTGCACCCTTTGTTTGGGTTCCTTACAACGACATTATTCTAGTTAATAGGATCATAGATTCATAGGTTTTGACCTTACAGTTAAATATATTGGTCCAAAATTTTTGAGGGTAATAGTATTTACACACGCCTCAAATGAAAGTTAGGTATGGTGGTACATACAGATATCAACATGGTTTGGACTTACATACTACAAAATGCACTGCATTATTTAAGAGGGCTATTTACAATACATCTCAATTTGTTGGTCTTAGGACGAATTACCTGTTCCTTTTTTTCTGTTTTCATAATTTTGTTTTTAATAATTCAACAATGTAAATTTTTACTTTAAGGTTTGTACAGTTTTATATTTGTCATCAAATGTCACTCAAAACTGAACGAAAAAGAAATGGTTTTGGGCTTTTGTAAAAACTTTAAAAAGAAGTACACAGTGAAGTGTTACAGTGTAACTTAAGTATACTTATTTAGAGCCCAGTAGAGGAACAATTAAAAACATGAGGATTTATGAATTAAAGAAAAACATTACACTTAAAATAAAGTTCTGCTTGCAACATATTAATAAAAGGCGAAAAAAATTTGTGCAGTTCTTTTGGTAAATTTGCACAGACAGAAGAAAAGAAAAGAATGAATCACTGAAATCTAAATGAACTATGAACAAAAGAAAGCATTCAACAATGCACTTTCAAACAGATCATATCACAATTTATATTTTTTATTAAGTATCACCCAATCTCATTGTCAGGTAAAGGTGAGATCATCCAGGACATCTACTTGTCTTTCAAAGTAAGCCAAGGCATCAGCATGTGGAAGAGCAGGTTTCTTGAGTAATACCCGAAGTATATGTTACAATATACTGATAAAATCTAGTATTTTTAGGACACAGCCAACACTTAAACCAGCATTTTGTCAACCACATATTTGATCCAGTTCAAGCTCAAGCATATGCTGTAGGCAATAATACACAAATCGGCCAGAAAAATTGAATAAAAGTATCAAATTTCAGCTAAAAAAATGTGCCATACTGCTTCTCATTAGGCAAAACTGCACAGAATCATAAAGAATTCTTAGAACAATTTTGTCTGGGAAAAATCCTAAATTTTTCTTCTAAGTGCACAGTTGCCTAAGCTCAACTTGACAATTTCAACCCAGTATTGGCCTGACATTTCAGAAAACAGCACTGCGGCACTCTAAACATGACTGAAAATGTTAATATATTTGACACTTCTTTAAATTTTCCAGGTACGAAGGCACAGCAAAACTTGATAAAGCCATGCTTCTCACAAAGATATGTCAGGCTCTGGTCACGGAGGACTCCAGATATGTAATTGTGCTCACTCCTCTTCTTCCACTGGAGCTGACTTATTGGCATCGCTTTCCTCCAACTGTTGCTGGAGGGCTCTCTGTTCTGCATCTGTCAAGAAGAAATAATTACATTCATTACACAAACAAGAACTTTAAAAATAGTACATTGCAAACAAAACAAACCAAAACACTAGGACACAGTACCTTTCGCTGCCTGCTCCTTCCACATTTTCTTGTTCTCTGCAAGAATGCCGACCCAGGGTTTCTTGATGGTGAAGCGCTGCTGATCAGATTTGTGTTTTCCTGCACCATCACCTGAGAATCACAAGAAAAAGAGATTTCTGTTGGAGTATTTGTGTCTTAATGTGTTTTGCATACACGAGATCTGTCCTGCATCTCTTACCAGTGGGCTCCTCTTCAATTGCGTCCTTGTTTTTGTTCGTTTCCTTGGCACTGTTGCCCAAGATAGGGGCAAGAACAACCTCCAACATGTCTGCGCACACTCCCATGGACGGTTCAACGATGAACTCAATAAAACCTATTGCAAAAACAAAAGTCAGTTCAAACACCCTAAAACACACTATTATTTAAAGTTTTTTTTTTCAATTGTTTTGTTTTAAATGAATTCAGTACCTATCTGACTTTCAGCAACAAGAGTGTTGTTACGATCACAGAGCGGTGAAAATGGTAGCCCTAGCTCACGCTCCCTGTCTCCCTGACGGAAGAACTCTTCAAGCAATAACTCTGTCCAACGATGGTGCAGGTCCCAGCGCTTGGCTGGATGGGCTATGTCACAACAATGGAGCACCATTGCAAGGCCTTTCGACTTGTCGACCCTGGCAAAGTAGACAATAACCAATTAATGGGTTGTTTTTCCTTAAAATTGATAAATGATTGAGACGAAATCCAATACTTACGTTGGTTCTGCGAGTGTTAGCAGGTTCCTCATGTTCTTCAACTGCTGGAAATGGAAGCTCATGTCCGTGGCAAGGACCATATCAATGACCAATGTCCTGAATTCCCTAAATTCCTCACGGGACAAGTTTTGCAGAATATTACATTCATCTTCTCGGAGTGCCCTGAAAACCGAAAGAGAAGTTGATGAGATGTGCGGTGCTCGCTACTCAAACTCAAAGCTCCAGCCCCGGAGACTCGGAGAGGGGCGATAGGCAGCGGCTCTACCCCTCGGCCCAGAGCCTGCGTGTCGCTGCCGCGCGGGGTATCGCCGAGTCGCGGAGTAGCCCGCGCGGCCCGCGCCGCCCAGTGGCGCCACCCACCTGAAGGCGGCGCTGATGTGGTGGTTCTCCAGGACGGCCCTGTCGTTGTACAGCAGCGCCGTGTCCGACCCCGACATGACGTGGAAATTGTTGGTCGTGCCCGTGTGCTCGAAGTCGTGGACGATGGCCGCCAGCAGCGTGGCGAAGATCTCCAGGTCCGTCAGCCAGTTCTGCAACAACCATCACGTGAAGCCCCTTTGCCGCGCGGCCCCTGTGCGCGTGGGTAATGCGTGGAAGGGGGGGGGGACACTCACCATGAGACCGGTCTGGCACAGCATGTAGTGAACGCCCTGGGCGACGTCCGCCGCATGGAGGTTGTTGTGGTGGGGTTTGTGGCGAGATCCCCTCCTCTTGTCAGCAGGCTTCACGACATGACGTGGAACCTGTTGGCGGCCCGTGCCGAAATCGTGAGCGAGTCTGCAACAGCCACAGCAGCACCGTCGGCGAAGCATCCCTAAGTGATAGCCATTCTGCAAGTCGAACCCAGGTACTTGACGGTTGCCGCGCGAAGCCCCTCGTCAGCGCGCTCGAAGGTACATGTCGGTGGAAGGCAGGGCGAGGGCGGCACTGCACTGAGCCGGTCTGGCACAGCAGAGCGCACCGGGCACGGGCGCATGAGCCCGTTGATTGTGGATGACCGTTTTGTAGCGCTAACCCCGGCTCGATGCGGCTCGAGCCCGCTTCAGAGCCGACTGAGGACCTGAGGCATGGCACAGGCCACGCGAGCGTGAGTCCGATCCTGTGCCGTGAGCCCAGAGCCACCGCAACAGGGCAGAGAGCTCACTAAAATGTCAAAATGCAGTTTTGGGTAGGGTCAAGCGGGCTCAACGGGGTCTCGAGTCGGTTGCCGAAGCCGGGCTCGGTCGGCGCCGGCCAGTCGGGGACCAGTCGTGGCCAGTCGGGCTCTCGGCATCAAAGGCAGGGCCTGAGGGGGTCAGGTCATCCGTGGCCATGGGGAGGGAGCGACCCGCCCAGCGGCGGCAGCAGAGCCTGCGAACCGCGGGGTAGGCAACCCGGCGGCCACGGGTGCGCGGCAGTGCCGATGTTGCCTACGCTGCAGGCTGGCGGTGCTGGCGCCGGCGCAGCGTGACTCGGGGAGCAGTTCGTCGCCCTGTCCCTGTCTCTCTCGCACCGTGCACGGAATGGCCATTGAGTGCGACAAGGACAGAGCGACGAAACGACTCTTGTGATTCGCTCAGCGGCTCGCACAGTGGGCCAGAAGACCGACGGCGGTGACCAAAACTCCAGACTCATTTTGAACTCCAGAGTCGCTGAACAGGACTCGAACCGAACGAGTGACCCCGCCAATGGCTTCCTCGTTCTAGGAGTAATCCGTTGGTGGGGTCACACGTTCGGTTCGAGTCCCATTGAGCGACTCTGGAGGTCAAAACGCGTCGGGGGTTCTGACCGCCTCCACCGGTCTTCTGGCCCACTGCGGCTCCGCTGGCGTCGCTGGCGGTGCCGCACGATGGCAGGGAGGCTTACCTTGAGGACGCGCACCACCTCCGGCGGGAACTGCATGAGCGCGGCGTTGGACACCCGCCGGTAGATGCGGTCCACGAAGATGCCGGCGCGGATGGCGTGCGCCACCGACCGGAACTTGGGCTTCTCGTCGGGCCTGCGCCGCTGCGTGGCCAGCTGCCTCGTGAAGGTGGAGGCGAGCCACTCGCGCACCTCGGGCGGCACGGCGTCGGGCTGCACTTCGGACAGCTCGTCGTCCTCGTCGGCCAGCCGCCTGCGGGAAAGACACACAAGTCAGCGGCCGTCTTCACCACGTCCTCGCCCGGCGCCTCCGATCCGCGGAAGTCCAGGCCGAACCGAACGACGCGCGGCCCGTTCGATAGGTCGTTCCGTTCGAGAGCGGCGAGTCGCGTTCGGCGTGCGATTAGTCTCGACGGGGTCCGTTGCGATTGTTACGCATCCCCCATCCCGCGTGCTTCGCATGTCGCAGTCCCGGAGTTAGTCCGCATGCAGCGCGCCGCCGGTCGCGCCGTACTTCCGGTCAGGTTAGTCGCTTCCGGTTTGGCTCTTGATGCCCTTCACCCGCTCCAGGGTTCGTCGCGTCGCGTGTCGAGTGTGCGTGCGCGTGGGCGCGTGTCTGTGTATTTTGTGTGTTGTCACGCCGGAGAGTGCGGCTGGCGGTGTGGGCCCAAAGTATAAACAGCGCTCGGCCATTCCTGGCGCGTTACAGACAGCCTTATCGTGCAGATAAGCAAATGGAATACGAAGAGGGACCAAGGCGGTGGGGGAAGGGGGCTGTTGGCACGACTGAGGTGTCAGCGTGCACGCGAAGTGGGGAAGGGTGGGGAAGGGAGGGAGGGTTGATGAACTTGCCCTTCTTGTCGTAGGCGCTGCAAGTCACCTCGGTCACTTACACGGCCGGAGACTCCGCAAAAGTGTGCTTTGTCTATGCGTGTCTGTGTCTGTATGTGTGTGCGCGTGCGGAGCAGGGGTCGCGGGGGGCGCCTTCTGGGACGTGTTGCCCCAAGCGGCACGGCTGGGCGGGGCGGGGCGGAGGGTTCGCTGCACAATGGGGGCAACACGGGGAAAAAGCAGGAAACATTCGGGAGGACGGGACACGGGGCACCGCGCGTCGCAGGGCGAGGCGGAGGCGGGGGCGGGTCCACGCCGAGAGGAGTGAAAACAGAAACAGAGCGCGCTCGGCATCATCAAACATTAAACAAGTTGGAAGCGGGCCGAATTCTCGCGCCGAAAGCGCCGAAAGCCAAAACGAGGTGAGGCGAGGCGACGCTGCCCCCGAGCCGGGCCGGGCCGGGCTTGGCGCCCTTGACGGCAAGCCGGCAGGGCGGCAACGCGCCGCCTCAGTCGGATTGACAGTCACGAGGGTAGTGCCTGCGCGGCAGCACGGCGGCAGCACGGCGGGCGCACTGCGAAACACGGCTTTGGTCGCTCCGTCTCTCTCGCACTCATGCGGCGTCCGCGGACGGTGCGAGAGAGACGGACCGGTAAGGCGGTGCTCGCCGAATGAAACGACAGGGCGCGGCGCGGCGAGGCGCGAAGACCAAGGCCGGGGGGCGCGCCGGAGACGGGGTCTAAAAGCTCGCTGCGTCGGGATTCGATCCCGCGCCCCGCGGCACGCCACGGCACGGAGACAATCATTATGTTGCTGTTATGGTGCACCGCCGGGCTGGACGGCCTGGACGGGCTTGGCTGGCACCGGCCCGCTGGCTCAGCTTATTCGCCCGAGACTGTAACATCGAGGGGTGGGTCGCGGGGAGGTGGAGGGGGAGGGGTCGTAAAGGCCCTGTGGAAGATGGTCGTCACATAGACCATTAAATGGACTCATATCCCAGCGCTGAGCGGCCTGCGGCTGCCTGCGGAGAGCCGGGCGGGGCGGGGCGGGGCGGGAGGCGGGGCGGGGGATGCAGGAGGAAATAGTGCATTGCAGTGCGCTGTGTTACTGCATTTTCTCATTCCTCAGAGAAGGTCATGAGACTCGCCTTGGAAGCCTCCCCTCCCCCACGCCACGGCGTCGCTTCATCTGCGATATATTGCCAACTTGAGCTCATTTCGGGAGGCGGCGCATGCAGGCGCACAGGCGGCCTGGGCCTCGGAGGCGGGCACGTTGTCGGGGAAGCAGTATCAAGCGGTGCCCTCAGACCCCAGCCGCGCCAGCCACCCAACGGGGTCGAGCCAGCCAGCCGGCTGCACCACGGCTGCACTTCCCCGAATGCAGCGGGGACGGCGCGACGAGCACTCCACCGTGGCGCGGGGTGAAGGGCACAGTGTACTGGGCAGGGAGGCCCAGAGCCCACCGCAAGGGAAGCGGATAGAAAAAGGGAGAGGGGGAAGGCGAAGGCCCAACGTGATTATTTCAATTAATATTCCAGCGCGGCCAAGAGGTGGCGCGGGGGTTGACTCTGGGGCAGATGGCGGGGCGGGACGGGGCGGGGGTCGTTTCCTCCCCACCTTGCTCGATGCGATGCACCCATCTACCCATCTCGAGCCGCGGCGCACCGCAGCGCGGCTCCCAGTCGCAGAGGGCCAGAGGCACGCCGCAGACGTTTCATAAATCCGACGACTGTAACTCGCCGCCCGCCGCTTCATGCCGCTTCATGCTTCGACCCATCCGCGCCTGGGGGAGGAGGAGGGCGGGAGGGAGGAGGGGGCTTTACGAGCGACTCGCTCTATTTTCAAGCCAAGGACCTTTTAAGGGAAAGAGGGTCGGAATCCCCGCGTCCCGGCCAGGACGTGCAGGCCGTGCCGCAGGCCGTGCAGGCCGGGAGGGCGAGTCAATCGGCGTGTTGTGGCTGCCAGCCCCGCCAGCCCCGCCTGCACGACGGCACCCTTGCCGCCATAGTCAGCGGATCAACGCGCCGCACTCTTGCTCCTCGAGCAGGCCGAGCAGGCCGAATGGCTGAAGTCGGCATAGTCGGGGGCCCCACTGGGGGAGGGAGCGGCTCAAACGATGCGCCTCGCGATGCGCTCCAGGCAGCGGCTTTGTAATTAAAAGTGCGCGAGCAAAAAAAAAATCAGAGTCAAATGAAACTGTTTTACTAAAACATAAAAATCGCCCAAAAAATGTAAGAGGATGTTGACGAGAAATCGAAAGTTGTTCCACCCTCGGGCAAGGGTGGCGGTAAGGATGGGATAAGCGGGAGGCGGAAGCAAAAAGACAGGGTGGAAAGTTTTCTTCGCGAAGAGAGGGAGAGCGGACCGGCAACCCCGTTCATCGTGGTATAGGCCCCGACCGCAGCGCTCCGCCACGGCCGCCACGCAGCCACGCTCCCCAGCGCGAGCGTGGTCACGTTGCTCCCCGCCCGACCCGTCCCCGCGGGCCCGTGTGGGCCTGTGGGTTCGTGGACTCTGTGGACTCGGGCCGCGCCAGCCAGGCAGGCAGGCAGCTAGCCGCGCCATCACCGTCGACAACTTTTACTCCGCGCTCCCCTTCCTGTCCCGCCCGCGGCCTTACCCCATTCATGCATATGCGGCTGGAAAGCAGAGAGAGAGAGAGAGAGAGAGAGAGAGAGAGAGAGAGAGAGAGAGAGAGAGAGAGAGAGAGAGAGAGAGAGAGAGAGAGAGAACGAGAAGAGGAAAAAAAGCACAAACTTATCGAATTTTATTTGCAGACAAGTTCTGGCAACGCTTTGCCGCCGCTTGCGGGCGTCGTGTGTGAGTGTGGGGTGCGTTTGCGAGTGTCCCAGCACAGCCCCCGCCCCCCGGAGTTTGTCACTTTAACGGCATTGCAGGCGATCGGCAGCCCTGCCGGCAACCTGATGCTGTCGACTGGGCCGAGGCCGGAGTCGTCATTCGTCGCTCTGACTCTTGGCACTCACTGGCGCCTTTGGGGCGTGGGAGAGAGACGGAGCGATACGAATCCGACTCTTGGGCATCGCTCGTCTGCTGTCAAATGACTCTCTTTGAAGCGCGGGGGCGATCCCTGACGATCAGCGTGCCCATGCTTGACCCTGTCGGAGGCACGGGGGAGGTTGGGTCGGAGGGGGTGACGAAGGTCTGAAATCGGTGGCGCGGTTCATGGCAGCCAAACGAAACGGGTTTCGTATCGCACAAAAGGAAGCCAGTTGAAATTTCGGCGCGTGGCGCCGGTTGCGGTGGAGTGGGGTGCGGCGGGGTGGGGCGGGGACTGACACAGCGCCACGGCGTAATTACAAGGGCGGCCGCCCCGCCCCGCCCCGCCCCGCCCCACGGTGTTCCAGTGGGCTGGCCAGGGCGTTCCGCGGTGTTTGCGCGCTGGGCCGGCTGAAGGCTGAAGGCGGCCAAAGCGCTGAGGCAGAGGCGCTGGAGACGAGACGGGGCGACCGCCGTCCTTGATGGAACCAACCACCGAGGTGGACGCGCAGCGCGCAGCCTCTTGGTTCACACTCCCCGCCCCGCCCCGCCCCGCCCAGCCAGCCGACGGCCGTCCCAGCAGGGCCGCGGGGACCGTTCAGATTGGCGCCTTTTTCGGGCGCCTGGGCTCTCGAGGCGGGCTTGCTGGGCTGTCCGTCTCGGGGAGTCACTGGTTGTGTTGCTCTGTGTCTGTGTCTCAGTGTACTTGATCGGCCGGCCCGCCAGCTGCGTCCAGGACTCCAGCGACACGACGGCCAGCAGCGGCAGCTGGAGGCGCAGCCACGCGGAGCCAGGTCGGGCCGTGCAGTGTCTCAGAGAGTAGTGTTGCTGCGACGCGACGAGCCGCTCTATCGTGTTAGTGTTCTCCCTCTCTCGGCGCGCCACTCTGTAGTTGAGAACGTGACGCGCTCGGCACGTGGCACGCCGCGGCACGCCGGCAGCAGGGGCGGCCTTCTTGGACGCCCTCTGACAGTGTGACAGAGTCCGACCGTCACAAGCACCGCTCAAGCATTTGCGCAAGCCAGTGCGATGCAACTTGCGCCAGAGCTTGGGCCAGAGCTTGCGCCAGAGCTTGCTCGCGCTACACACTCGGCAGCTTGGTGCAGCTTGGTGCGGCCCGGGGCGGGACCCACCGAGTGTCCGCAGGAGGCGAGCAGTCCCGACTGGCTTCGAGGTTTCCTCTCCGAGCGGGGCCTCTGTGAGTGCACAAAACATAGTACCGACCGTGAGGGCGAGGCCTTCAAAGCACAGCAAAAAAAAAAAACAAAAGCCTCAACAATGCAACGCGTCCGACTAATGTATCATTTTGCTTTTGAAAAAAAAAAGAAGAAAAAAAGTATACAATCCTTTTGTTTTGCTTGGAGTGTGCGGACGAACAGGGTGTTTCGGAAGGGAGGCTTCCCTGGCCGCGGGAGAGAAATAGCGAGGCCAAACGCACCTCAATTTCTCATCATACCGCGGGGCGGGCCGAGCAGACGAAGCGGGCGAGGCTGCGCGTGCTAGCCGGGATAGCTTTACCGAAACACTCTGTTCAGAGCAAAGCATAATACAAGTGTTATGTTTTTTTTAATTTTTTTTTAATTTCTAAAGATGATAGACGTAAACCCAAAAGTACAGAAAACTAAAAAATGTAAAATAAAAGTACAGTTTAGTCATCGTTTTGAGGGCGATAGAGACGTGACTGCGGGAAGGTTGATTGAAACAGGTCGAAAAGGGGGGTGGGAGTGCTAGCGGGGCAGCAGAGCAGCAGGGCAGCAGAGCAAGCTGACTGGCTGCTGAGTGCGCGCCGAATCGCAAATCAAACAAAGTTGGCGCGTTTAAAAAAAAGGGGGAAGTAAACCTGATTGTGAGCCAGGCCATGGCCAGGCCGTCGCTCTCCGCCGGACACAATTCGCCTTTTACGCGTTGCTCAAGCGGTGCGGACCGCACGGGCCTCGCGGTCGCGCTCGTCCCTCCGAGCGCCACTCCGAGCGTCTCTCCGAGCGTCTCTCCGAGCGTCTCTCCGAGCGTCTCTCCGAGCGTCTCTCCGAGCGTCTCTCCGAGCGTCTCTCCGAGCGTCTCTCCGAGCGTCTCTCCGAGCGTCTCACTGAGCGGCGTAAGGGGCGGCCCGAAGTAATCGAGTTGAAGCGGAGCAAGTGCCCCGAGTGCTGAATTCTGCATGACAGGGTAATATTGAATTGGAGGCTAAAGAGGAGCGGATAATATACAGAGAGGATTCGCGAGCAGGCACGTGGAAAGGCGGGTGGATAATGCGCAAAAAACGCGCGCGCCGGAACGGAGAGCGACTGACTTGAGGAGGGGCACACTGCGCGCCAACCGGGTTTGTTTTGCGACCTTTGGTGGGGAGCATCGCCTCTCGGTGCAGCGCAGAGCGAAAACCCTCGCAACCAGGGTACAGGCTCAGTCCAGTTGCGGAGGTTTTAGCTCCACCGGCGCAGCAGCGGGCTCAGCAGTCTGGCAAACCGCGCTCAAGCAAATATCGAAACCCACTCCAAAGCGTCCCTGTGGACAGCGCCAACACGAGGGCCCGCTGGGCGCGCCGCGCGCTGTGGGCCACTTGAGCGGGATAATAGGCCATTTGGAAACTCGAATCTCTGAGCTGCGTTGCCAAAACGGAGTTCGCCCCAAACAAGGTGCCTTCGTTCGGGTGGTTCGGGTGGGTCGGGCAGGCGGCCCGGCCGCCTCGGAGGCCTTGTAGTTACAGGCCGTTCGCGCCGGGAGAGGGTTTCTCATGACCAAGGGGTGGTCCTGCTTTGGCCAGTACAAAGGGACAGGGAGAGCTTTGTTCCGTTCAAATGAACCACCGCAGGTTGCACAGACCGCCAAGTCAACAACTCGCCGTCAAAGGCGGTGGCTGGCCCGATTGGTATACATACCTCTTCTATGAATACACTGTGATAAATCCTACGTGATTACTAACGGCGAATGTGTTCTGATTTCTATGAGAGTTTGTGAGGAGTGGTGCATGCAATTTTGTTACTTCTGTGGTTTTGTATGGTAGAAGCGGGCAAGTATGAGGGATGTTAAACACCAAGGAGGAGCGAAGTGGAAATACAGGACTACAGGCGTAACAACATTCACAAAGTACACTTAGAAGAACGGCACACAAAAAGCAAAGACAGTCTGAAAAAGGGGGTTAGGATCGACACTTGTCAGATAGAACAAAGCAGAGAAGGCAGGGAAGATAGGTCTCGAAGAAGAGAGTGAACCCACAAAAAAGAAAAAAGGTGGTTAAAATCTGCTAAAATAGATTAGAGAAAAATGCGGTCGCAGGAGACAGGCAGGAAGAGACATAGACAGACGCGGCAGCAAAATAGCCCCTATCTCTCTTTAGTGCGTTCCCTCCGTGTTTAATTTCAGTCTAAGGGATCCGCAATCCTGAGAGCGAAAGAACTCACCGGAAACTCAAGCTTAATAATGAACATTGCATGCCAAAATTGGAATGAAACAAAATTGAGGTGTGACAGATTTGTGCACCGTGTTTTAAGGTGAGGACGGTACGCAATATATTATAAACGAAATTTGAATTTCCAGTGAACATACAGGAAGAAACAAACCATCAAAGTAACGTGCAGGGGGCAACGACATAGGCAGCGACAAGAGTGTTGTTGACAGAAAACGAGAGAGATGAGCACAGCAGAGAGCTAAGAGTCAGAACACTGCAAAGGAGGCAGTGCACTTCAGAATTCTATTTTATCATTAAAAACACTTAATATTTTAAAGCAAGTTATCTGAAACGATTATTTAGACGACGAACAGTTGACGAGAAGCATGAAAAATTCACAGTTAATCCAATATTGCACACAGACAATAGAGACACCTTTAAGGAGCCGTTGATGCCTTTACAGGACTTTTAAGAGGATCTCTTGATTAAAGAGTGAGCATCACCATAGATTGTCGGTGTGCCTGCGCCGTGAGAAGAGACACAGGCTAGCTACGATACAAGCTATGAGAAAGTCACGCTGAGTGTCCTTTAACTGTGTAACTCTTTTTATATCATTTGTAATTAAAAGAGTTTTTAAGAGAGTTTATGTTATCGATTTGAAAAGATCCAGGAACAGGCAATGGACTTCAAAGGAAATTGCTCACACAGGAAAGCTACCAAAAGCGCTCAACCATGCAAGCGGAAGGAAGGTGGTTGACGTATTGGGTAATCGGCAGAAAGGTGTCCAACCTACTTAGAAGATAACACACTGTAAAAAAGTTATAGCAAATCTATTTAAACTATATATAAATATAAATTTCGCAGTTTATTCATTTGAACTTAATTCTATTTAGTAGAGACTCTGGACATCTAGTTCAACTTAGCCTTTTTACTAACGATATCTACGGACTGTTGAATGTTTTCTGCGCTAAAGGGGACACAAATATGGCTTCTACTTCCTGGTTAGAGACTCCTAAGTACTTTTTTCTGGTCAAGCAAAACATGTTAGACGAAGCCTTAATTGCAGGAAATTACTTCTCAGGTAAGCTGGTCAAAGCAAGGGAAGGTTGTACGGGGTATTTTAACAATTTTTAAGGGTCTAAATATAAAAGGAGATAACTAAAGTGGGTACTAGGTACTTATACTGAACCCTTTGTTTGGGATAAGTTGTTACTGTTAATAAACAAATCATGACGACCTTGAACACACAAATGATACTGGCTATGGAAGTAATGGGTTAATTTATTAACATTTTGAAATGGAACACATTACAGCAAGATAGTGTGAATCAGTCATGCAGGATACAGTGCTTGCTTCTAGTTTCATGAAGCCATTAAACGTGGAACTTTTTGAAGTTCAGTGTAAAATAAGTAAAGACTAGGATTTCGTTTTGTGTGAAAACATATTTGTATCGTGCTAAAATCTTCAATTGTTCCATAGCCAGACGAAGATACCAGACGTGAATTTATGGTGTAAGGATTATGCAAGCAGAAAGGGGCTTTAGACAACCTTGCCCAAACGGGTCTCCGTAACCGTCTTCGTTGCACGGGCTTGCTGGATTCGCCGGCGGCGGTGCGCTCCGAAAGTTGGCTGCCTTGACCCTCGTCCGCACGGTCCCTAGTACGCAGGGGGAGTTAGTCTGCGTCCTGATGAGTGATTGAGAGAGAAAGACAGGGAGACACACAGAGAAGGAGGCACGTTCAGGCAGAGAAACAGAGATAGATACAAACATTCGTCCATTCCAAATGTTAGAGATAGCACATTTAGACCCGGCTGCGCAGTGTCAATTAACTCATTATATTTGATCAATTCTCAGTTGTGACAAAAAAAAATTGAATATATAAACAAAACGCCAACGCAGCCTGGTCACTGGGCATGCATGAAAACGCACAAACGGATCTGCATTTGATTACAAGGAGAGAAAGTAGATGCATCTACGGAAAATCAATCTTTCATCATGTTGGAAAGAGTTTTCAAAACTTCCGTTTGAACTCAACGTTAAGGCAGAAATGCTGTGGACATTTAGGGACCTGTGAAAAAAGGTAAGTTAAAATAGGGAAAGGGGGTGGGGCAGATCTTTTACCATTCAGAAAACTATGCACTCAAAATCACACGAAAGTGCCCTCTAGATGGCCACTTTTATGGTCAAGGGCAGTTTCGAAAACAGCTTTACAATTACTACTTGGAACTCTTTTAACCATGCCTTCACTTCAGCACCTTTAAACTGCATTAATTACTGGACCAGGCATAAGTCAGTAGATTTTACGTTGTGAGTAGGGGACTATATCATTTAGAAAAAAAAGTGCCCTTGTTGCATTTAGTTAGGGTCAGGGAGCTACCTTATAAGGGTCCAAAATGCAAAGTATATTTATTCCTTTTGTCGCGTTTATGTGAATAAATCCAGTTCGGGGGTGATGTACAGCTTTGTCGCCTTCAAGAATACAACACATCGAAGTGAGAGTATATTACACAATTATGATGTGCGTGGCGTGCGAGCCGATTGGTGCTAGTAAAACTATTGTAAGACTAAACGTAACACATCTACAACACAGATAGTTGTTCGAAAAAGAAACAAAAGAGTTTTATACAAAGTTCGTGAAAGCTGAGCGGCACATCGAAAACATGATATGCGCATAAGATGCTAGTAAGTCAAGGAAACGGTGCACAATCGTTGTTGAATCGCCCGGGGCACTCGTCGATTCGAAAGTGGCCGAGAGAGACAAGCCTGCCCCTGGTAAACAATTAACTTTTTTCGTTCCGAGACAGAGAGGAAGAGGAACAAGACGATCGCCCACTTACTTAGTCTCATCGATGAACACCGCCTCAAGGACGCGTGCGGCGTAGAGCAAGTTGCTCTGGAGCAGGTCCGCGGAGACCTGTCCCAGCTGGAGCTGACGTAGGAGGCAGCGGAGCCTGCAACAGCGAGGAGGGGGCGTCAAGGGGCGTCGCGAGGAGCCGGCCGTCTTGAGGGAGGCGCCGTCGAGGCCCCGGAAGGGGCAGGGGGGCAGGGCCGGCAGGGCCGGCAGGGACGGGCCCCGTTTGGGCCATGCAGTCATTAGGGCCGCATTCCCATGCAAATGCCGGCCGGCCGGGCCACATACCGCCAGCAGCACCAGCCCAAAGGCCGAAGGGCCGAAAGGGTGCGGCCGCGCAGCACATTGTGGGCGGCATTCTTCATAAGCGGGTCGGCATTGGCAGCCATCAGGGAGGGCGGTGGGTGTAGTCGGCAGAGCCTCGGCAAAGACCGCACTGCCAGACTACTCTGCAAAGCCCGCAAAAGAGGCTCTACTGCCGCGAGAGGATTGGCGTACCCACTAAATGTCATGGGACTTTTTTGTCCCACGAATGATGCAATTTTAAGCACATCCGGTGGTGATGCAATTTTGTGTCCCCCAGGCGGGACAAATTGTCTAGTGAAAGTACGATTTGCAGCAGGCGTCGGACAAAATGTGTCCACTGTGGCAAAAAGGTACGGAAAATCCTGTTAATTTTTTTGCCAGGATTCTCCGTAGCCCTCTTATCAATATTCTCCGTAGGCTCTTACAGTATTCTCCGTAGGGCCGCACAGTATTCTCTGTAAATCCGCACAGTCTTCTCCGTAGGACCTCGAAGACTGTATAGTCCTACGGAGATCACTGTGCGGTCCTACGGAGAATACTGTGCGGTCCTACAGAAAATACTGTAAGAGCCTACGGAGAATATTGATAAGGGGCCTACGGAGAATTACCACAAGCTGTTTACAGAATTTTCCGTAGCTTGTTGCCACAGTGTCGCCAGGCGGGAACAAAATTGTATCAGCTTCGGATGTGCTTAAAATTGCATAAACCGTGGGACAAAAAAAGTCCCATGACATTTAGTGTGTACGACACCAACTTTCATTTTCATCTTTACTTTTGAATTTTTATTTAATGAATAAACTGAGTGGAAGGGATGGTTCAAAGGTGAAATCAGACGTTTAGTCTTAAACAGCGGTGTTCGAGTAGGTTCGAGTTCATCCCGCCTACGACAGCTTCCATCCCAGCACGGAGCGCCTGTGAAGTCTCGGATAGGCAACCCTGCCCGCGTGCGGCCGCGACGGGCCTGCCTGCTTGACATTACCATTAACATTAAGGGCTAGCAGGCGCTCCACGCAGATCGACTCCTTCGTGCTCGTCCATAAATTACGTAACGTCTTCTGCCCCTCTCGCAATCACTGGCGGCCCGTACGGAACAAATAAAGGACAGAGGCATCTAGTAAAAAGTTACGTAATTTATGGACGGTCCCTTCTATTCATATACTATTTATACCTGAACGCAGCTTTGTCGCAGGCGTCGGGCGTGTCCACGGCGGGCAAGCAGTCCGTGCTGAGGTCCATGGACTCCACATCTCTAGCCAGCGAGTCGGCGGGGTCTGGGGGCGCCCCCCCTCCGCCAGGGGGCCCGGGGGCGCCCCCTCGTATGACGGTGGGTCCGACGGGGGCGTTGTTGACGGCCTTCTTCGTGCTGCTCCTCCGCACGATGGTCAGCGAGCCTTGCTCTGCAACAGAGGGAAGCATGCGGTTGGCAGACTCGTTGGGGAACGTGGAATCAAGGATTGACACCTCGAATCCAATCTGAATTTGTCGAATCGAATCTGATCAAAAATAGGTGAATCAAAAATTGAACTCCATAAAGTTCAGATTCGAATTGAATTTCCCAGTTTATAAAGGCAAGAGAATGCTGAATCTACCGGATTTGAACCCGAATCGATTCAGCGCCAACTTGATTCAAGGCTTGGTTTGGAACAGTGCGCACAGCCCTGGAATCGCACGAAACGCGCATCGCTGCGCAGCACTGCGCGCAACGCGGAGCGGCGAAGCGGAGCAGGTGGGAATGCCTGGCCGTTCCGGCTGCCGACCCACTGCCTGGCCACGGCGGCTTATTGTCCGACCGGGAAGGGGAAACTTCCAGCGTAAAAGTTCGACCCGAGGCAAGCGCAGGGCTGAGCAGCGCCGAGCATGCAACGCATTCAACGCAGTCAAAGTTAGGGATGGGCGACTGGGGGCGGGGCAGGGTGGGGCAGGGCGGGGCGGGGAAGTGTCACGGTACGACTGCGTCCACGAGCAGTGCTACCGAGTGCCGCTACGGCCGCTACGGCTGGAGGACTCGGGCCCTTACGCGGAACGCGAAAAAAAGCGGGAAAACATTCCAGCTCGGCATTTGAGAAGTTGGCGGCGCTGCCGGCTGCACTGCCGCCTGTCACTCTGGTACACTGGGCCAGCGCCCGGCCAAGCGCTGGGCCGCTGAGTGATGACCCGCAAGACACGAGTCAGCGGAATTTTGAGGGTTTGAGGGTGCGACGATTTGTCTCTGCTTTGGCAGAGTCACGACGGAGACGCGCCTCAAAATGGAAATAGGCCACCCCGCCTGTACCGCGGCCCACGCACACAGGCCAGTCAGGCCAGTCAGGGGGCCGTGGGTTCGAATCCCGGCGACGGATCAGCCCGGCCAGGGCCGCGCAGGGCGCCACGTCTTCGGGAGGACCCACACTCACACCAGCCCAGAGCCTTGAAGATGCTTGTTGCTTTACGATGAAATTCCGGGAGGGGGAGGCGAGGGAGCGGTGGGTGACGGGGCGTGGTTGGGACCATGGTCACGTACCGAGTCCATGGACCGTCCCAAGGACTTTGTGGCCTAACTGTCCGTTCCACAGAACACACACACTGCCCCACACACTCGCACACACACTCGCAGGAACCTGATTTACGATTGGCTGAGCGAGGGAGAGGGAGCGAGAAAGGGAGACGTGAAGAGAGCGTCGATTGTACCGAATGCACTGAATGCAAGGGTCGCGTCATGCCATTGGAAAGCGCGGAGATACGACCTTTACGGGCCATAAAGGCGCGAAAACGCATCGCCCGCGATGGAGGGCGGAAACGCGTGGCAGCGTGCGCTCTGCTTCATGCGCCCTGCTTCGTGCGCCCTGCTTCGTGTACCCTGCTTCGTGTACCCTGCTTCGTGTACCCTGTTTCGTGCACCCTGCTTCGTGCACCCTGCTTCGTGCGCCCTGCTTCGTGCACCCTGCTTCGTGCGCCCTGCTTCGTGCGCCCTGCTTCGTGCGTCCTAATCCCTGCCCCCTGCTTCGTGAGCCCTGCTTCGTGTACCCTGCTTCGTGCACCCTGCTTCGCGCACCCTGCTTCGTGTACCCTGCTTCGTGCACCCTGCTTCGTGCACCCTGCTTCGTGCGCCCTGCTTCGTGCGTCCTAATCCCTGCCCCCTGCTTCGTGAGCCCTGCTTCGTGCGCCCTGCTTCGTGCGTCCTAATCCCTGCGCCCTGCTTCGTGCGCCCCGAGGGCCAGGGCGTCCAGGGCATGGTGGTGCCTTCGTTTAAATCATCCGTCTCGGAGATGACTCCGGGAGAGGACACTGCCTCCTCGGAGAGGATCCACACTGAGAATCCAAACGCTATGAGTATAGCGTCAATTGGTGCAATGCAAAAGCATTGCACATGAAGTGCAATGCCTCCCATTTCCCATGCATAAGCATAGGGCCTTTCGGGGAAGCATTGCACCAAAGGTGCAATATGGCTGAGGCATTGCACGTATGGTGCGATATCGCAGCGCATTGCACCATACGTGCTATACTCATAGCGTTTGGAATCTCAGTGCAGCAATTTATTTCCAGACGAGGAGCGTGGCAGCGTGGCAGCGCGCGGCGGACTCTCTTATTGTCGTCATTCTGGTAAGTGCCGGCTTGTCTACACGCGCGGCCCGCTAGGCCCGCAATCCAGTCAGACCGCCAGAGGGGAACAGGGCACCACCGCAAAAAATGGGGGGGAAAGAGGGAAACAAGTCGGAAAACGGAAAACGCTATGGGCGATGCAAAGTGGAATACACTAGTACGTAGTGCGCGGGCTACTCACGGGCTAGCTGGCCGTTGTGCGGCGGCGTGCCCGAGGGCGTGCTGGCCTGCTCGGGCTGCTCGTCTTCGTACGGCGGTGGCCCCCCGCCGGGCCCCGCCCCCACCGCCGCTCCCGACACCGCCCCCGACACCGCCCCCGACACCGCCATGCCGGGCTGACCGCTCAGGCCGCGCCGGTCTGGAGGGCTGGCCACTGCAACAGGAAACGCAACATTTTTAGAACGAGAGTGCGAGGGAGGAGAGGGAAGGGGGAGGGGGAGGCAGCACGGGGATGGACGACTGACGGCATGAGGCCGCTCACTTGGCCCCGGTCCATGCCGTAATTTGCACCATGTCGCTGCGGACGACACGGACGACACGACAAGCGGACAGGGCGTACAGAGCAGACGACTGCGGGTCCCGGCATCCCCCTGGCATCCCCCTGGCATCCCCCTGGCATCGTCGGCCAAACACGCGAGCAAACGTACAAAACGGACGCCGAACGCTAACGACGAGAGCGACAGCGCCTCCGGCGGGATCATTTCGAACAGAGTTTCGTCCCTCTGCCTCTCAAGGGGCGCCGCCGTGCTCCGAATCGCATCGGTACGAGAGAGACACAGCGACGAAACATTGCGCCGAAGCGCTCTGCTGCTCCAGTCAGTCCCAGTCAGTCGCAGATCGCGGGGCCGCGCGGCGCGGGGCGGCGCGGGGCTCCACCGCGGGGTCGTTAGACTCCCAAATGGAGTGCGGCAGAGTGGCCGCCGAGGCGGGGCAAGCCGGGGCCGGGCGGGGTCGCCCTCGTCAAGCGCATGTCAATGAGAAAGTGGAAAGCCAGACACGGAATAGTTGGAGCCAACTTGCCGGCAGCTGTGCTGTGCAGGCCCGACGGGCCCGACGCCCAACGTACCCGAACGGGGACACATGGACACACCAACCCTGCCATTGTCGACCCCCTACGCGGCGGTCAAGCTCACTTCACATGTTTTTCGCGCCGTACAACCCCTTTTCACGTTTTGTGCGTCTGTGTGTGCGCTCCGTGGGAATACATCGATTGAGTTGCCCCTGGGCACTCCCTCCACAACAAGCCGAAACAACAACAAAAACAAAATCCACGCAACGCCGACGAGGGGATAACACAACACCCCGAAGATACATGCCCCTCGAGTGAGGCTACCCTGCGTCTGTCGCTCTCTCTCTCTCTCTCTGCGCGTCTGCTTCAAGGCCTCCTTATTTGGGCCGGAGCATTACCTACACTCCTTTCATGTGCGTTCCGTTCTATTGATTCTGCGTGGTGAGGCTGCGTGCCCTTTGGCCGGGGGCCCAGGGCCCAAGGCAGCCCAAGGGCTCAGGACCCACAGCGGGGCGCACTGGGGCGAGCCGGGGCGAGCCAGGCCGACCCGGGCCTCTGGGGCCACTGGGGGCCCCCCATGCCGGCCCAGGCTGGGCCACTTCCAAATTCCAAGGCCACTCCATTCCCACCACACAATTTCGCCCGAGGATTATTATTTACTATTCGCTCGATATGGTTCCGCGAAAATAAATAAATCCATAAAAGAAATAGCATAGGGCCGACGCCGCTGTGTGTTTTTGTTTTATATCCCGAGCTGAGCTGACAGTGGCTGACGCGGGGAGCTGACGTCGACGGGGCAGGAATGCTGGAGAAGGGGCACTCCGCGCGTCCGGGTGAGTGTGTGTGAGAGAGTGTGTGTCTGTGTGTGTGTCTGTGTGAGTGGAAAGGACGGGGCATCCATGTGCGCGCGTGTTGTGTCCTGCTCACATTTTCTTTCGCGCAGCCCTCGGGGTCACGGTGTAAAACGGGCCATAAAGGCGGGTCGTGCCGCTCCACTGCTGTGTCCTTTGGAGGCGCCCCGCCGCCCCGATACACCCCGGCCCGATCCACCCTGGATCCACCCTGCATCCACCATCCACGCCGAGCCAAGTGTCTAATTCCCAGGTTACACTGTTGATGCAGGGAATGACGTCGCATTCGTGGATTTGCAGAGAAGGGCCCTCGCATGACCGATGGCTGGATTCGGCCCCCGTCGTCGCACCTGACGTGTTCATTCCGAGTGTTCCCCGGGGTGGAGCAGCGGGCGCGACGCGGGCACCGCGCAGCAACGCGCAGCCCCGTGGAATAGCATAGCCAGGCAGCCAGTCAGGCAGCCAGCTAGTCAGCCAGGCAGTCAGCCAGCCAGGCAGTCAGCCAGCCAGGCAGCCAAGCAGGGAGCTAGTCGAGCTGCAACTTTCAGCCCCAGGTTTAGAGCCTCCCTCGGCAAAACTTGAGCCGCCTTTTCTCTCGCGGGCGATGTTGATTTAAATGGCTGCCCGGCGGCGCACGCAGATTTACCGGTGTGGTCACCCCCCCCCCCCCCTCCCCTTCCCTCTCTCACCCCCTCCCCCTTCCCGGCCGCCCCTATTTGCCGGGCCGACGGTCCCGCGCGAGAAACAGGGGGGAAACATTGGCGGCGTGCTAACGCGCGCGGCAGCCCGGCGGCGCCAAATTTAAATTAAGTAGAAGCACGGAAACAAACGCGAAAATGCGGAGCAGAAGGGCGCCTGAGTAAATCATTGCGGCAACTCAAACAGAACCGGAAACTGCGGCGGTGGCGAGCGGTGCGGTGGCGGCGGCGGCAAAGAAGAGCGCGAACGAGCGACGCGGCGCTATTTCCGCGATTAGCTAAATGCAGGGGGCAATTGGCGCGGAATTGGCAACGCAGCAGGCGACTGCTTTCTGCAGCGATCCGGAAAAAAAGGGGAGGAACCCGGGGAGGAGAAGGATCCAGCGGGACGGTGCTGCGCGAGCAGCTCGCCGCCCACATCGAGAAGGGACCCGCGAGACCCTCCCACTCCCCCTCGTTCGCACGGGCCCACACCTCGCAGTGCTTGCAGCCAGGAGTGACTGAAAGTCACGTGGCCGACGAGGAGCCGGAATCAAATCGGCGGCATTCTCGCCGGCGAGCGGCTGGCTGGGCCGGGCTGGGCCCGGGCGAGGCTACACTCCAAATCCAGGGTGTCTAGAAACTATACGCCTTAGGCGTATGCCACAGAAATGGAACTGCCTTAAGGCGCCTTGATTCTACACGCCAAAGGCGTATACCCCATTGAGCACCTTTTGCAGATAGAAGTTAGCATGTGAACACCATTGGTCGAAGGAAAGGTGCGTGCATTGTACACACCCTGGATCATAGGCACTGAGCTCAACAGGACTCTAGGTGCGTTGAATGCAAACACCGCCCTTGGCCGAGGCCATGCCTACCGAGGCCTTAAAGGGTGTTTACATTCTACGCACCTTGAGTCCTGTTGAGCTCAGTGCCTATGATCCAGGGTGTGTACGATGCACGCACCTTTCCTTCGACCAATGGTGCTCACATGCTAACTTCTATCTGCAAAAGGTGCTCAATGCGGGGTATACGCCTATGGCGTATAGAATCAAGGCGCCTTAAGGCAGTTCCATTTCTGTGGCATACGCCTAAGGCGTATAGTTTCTAGACACCCTGGATTTGGAGTGTAGGCCTGGCCCTTCCCGCTGCCCCGGAGCGACGCGAGCTCGGGAGGAGTCCCTGAATGGCCCCAGGCACGCCAGCAGCGCCAGCAGCGCCGCGGCGAGGCTGTTGGGGTGGGTGGGAAGGCACTGGAAGGGACGCTCCGGGCTCGGCTCCGGGCGCCTGCGAGGTAGGCAGTGCCGGCGTCACGGGACTGGCTTGCCTGTCGGCCTGGCTGTCGGCCTGCCTGTCGGCCCGCATCTCCCAGGATCGCCCAAAGCCACGGCAAATTACATGCACGCTTCTCTTCTTTCTTTCCGCAGCAAAACGAGCGTCAGATGAGGCGAGGCTAACCCAGTGTGTGCGTGTGCTCTGCTCCGCGCGCGTGTGTGTGTGTGTGTGCCTGGGGGCGGTTTACAGCAACCACCTGTTCCCGCCATGCGAGGTTTTGCCGTGCCCGGGTTGGCCTTGGTGCCTTGGTGCCGCACCCCTCGTTTTATCCCTTTTCCCTGCATCGCCACAACGATTTACTCGCTGCAAATGATAATGTCGGCACGTCGCATGGATTCGCGGCGAGCGCTCCGTGACGAGTTCCGTGACGAGGTTCGTGACGTGGTTCGTAACAAAAGGACGTTCGTGGCGAGAAATGTGACATGAGGTTATCAACGAAATTTGTGACAAGGTTCGCTACAAAATTTGTGACAAGGTTCGCTACAAAATTTGTGACGAAGTTCACGACGAGGTTTTACAACAAAGGCCCGTGACGAGGTCCGTGACAGATCCATGACGAAGGCTCGGAAGAAGCCCTTTCTGACGAGGTCCTTGATGAGGTCTGTGACCAGGTTCGTGACGAGGTCCGTGGCGCCCCGGCCGCCACGTTTAAACCTTTTTCCTTCTTATTCTGGCGGCCTACCTCCAGCGCGCTCCAGCGCGCTCCAGCGTCACAGCTGCGGCGTCCCCATGGCAACGGCCTCCGCCAGAGGATCTCAGCCAGAGCTCACGACGGCCGTTCGGTCTCGGCCGCCGCCAATTCGTTTCGCAGAAAAAAAAATTAAATGTGGGTCCGCTTTCTTGCGGCCAATGGCACGGCCGAATGGATTCAAACGCGCCGGAGGTAATCTCTCGCCGAGGCTAGTCGGCCTGATTCAACGAGGTGTGCGATATTGGCGGGAATAACGACATCAGAGCGTGCTTTCTGCTTTCTCAAGGAGATTTTCCGGCAGGCGGGAATGCCGAGGCCGGCCGAGAGGCGGACGCGAGGGGCAAACAACTTCGTCAAAATTTGTACACCGTTATTTCAAATTCACGTTATTTCACGTTATTTCATTGTTACTTCAACGTTATTTCAAGGGTATTTCAACGTTATTTCGCGTTATTTCGTGTTATTTCACGTTATTTCGTGTTATTTCACGTTATTTTGCGCTATTTCACCGTTATTTCACGCAATTTCACGCTTATTTTGGCGTTATTTCAACGTTATTTCACCGTTATTTCACGTTATTTCACCGTTATTTCACGTTATTTCACCGTTATTTCACGTTATTTGACGGAAAATGTACACCTAAATTCAAGTTGTTTGCCCCTCGGGCGGACGAGGAACGCGCTATTATTATCAAAGAGGGAGAGGGACTGCGGGACGGAGGGACCCACAGCTCCACCTGGAAATCAGTTCCCTTGCCGGCCGTCCCCCGCTGGACCGTGGCTGGACCGTGGCTGGACCGTGGCTGGACGG